CAGTACGAAGAGAGAGAACGCTAACCTTGCTCGACGTGACTTCTGGCATGGAGGACAGGAAGGCGGGTGGGGAGGCGGTTATTGCTTGGAGGGAGAGCCCCCCTCCAATAGGGAAAGGCGGGAAAATGGCTGCGGACCCCATGTCACGGGCGGGAAAATGGCCGTGGACCGTGGCACGGGAGGGAAAATGGCCACGGATCCTGTTCATCGCCCGATCCTGCGTTCGCGAACGGAGGCAAAATTTTGCGACCGGAGCTGTTCGTGAACCAAATTGTTCGTGAACAGAAGCGTTAGTGACCCGAGGTACCACTGTACGTGTAAATCATCATTGTTGCAATTGTGATTTATTTTATTCTACTGTTGTACAGGTAGACCTTGCTTACCAACTGTCTCACGCAGCAACTGTTCAACAGTGCTGGAAAAAATAACTTTGTGACCAAGGTGTGCATTTACAATCTTTGCAGCATCTGTCTCTCTCAGTCACATATTTGCCATTGTAGTCAATATACATTGTCCTGTGCCTGATCCTTTCCCCCCACCCCCCAGCTTTTTTTCTCCCCTCCTAGAGTAGAGAGATTGCTTAAACAAGCAATCTCTTTAAGCAATCTCTCCTGTGCCTGATCTGTTTTTTTTTCTCCCCCCACCCTCACAGAGTGGAAAGATTGGAGAGGAAGGGATTGCAAGAGAGTAAGCAGGCACACAATGGGGAATACACATCTAAAGGAATGCAGTAGCATTATAGTCAGTCAGTACACATTGTCCTGCGCCTGGCCCTTTTTTTCCTTTTTTTTTTCCCCTCATAGAGCAGAGAGATTGCTTAAACAAGCAATCTCTTTAGGCAAACTCTCCTGTGCGCTCCAATGAATGTAAATACAAACATTAATTCCCGTCTTGCTAATTATCCCAGCACCAGAGTGAACAATCCAAAGGGTGGGGGAGTGGGGAAAAAGGAAAGCTGAAGTAAAATTGTAAGCCCAGTCACAGTCAAGTGATTTTCCACTTAGCGACCACGTCAGTTGGTGACTGAGTAGCCAGTCCCAGTTGTGATCGCTAAATGAGGACGACCTGCAATTCTAGTCTCATAGAATTGAGTTTCATTCTTTTGGCTGAGTTTTCAGGGTAATATTCAGGCAGTGGCAACATTTGGAGAGTGAAAATTCCAATAAGAGGATCCAAGAGCAGATGTTAGGAAGGTTCAGGTTCAGACATTCAGGCAGCAGACACAGCCCAAGTCATCAAGATAAAGGCCATGATCAAAGTTCTTCCAGCACTGAATCCCAGTCTGGCCTAGCCATCAATGCCCAGGATTCCTAGACTCCCCACCCAGACAGAGGTGAAGCTGAGCAGCCCTCCTTTACCAAGGCCTGACTCTGCAGGCTACTGCTTTTGTCAGGTGTCTTCCTTACAAGCAGCCACTTCTCCCTCCTCAGGCCTTTGACTCCGGCTGCTGGGGTTGCCATGAACTAGGAGGCCTTGACTCCAGCTGGTGGACCGAATCACCCAATATCAGTGTTTTTGGCCAAAATCTCTTTCCCCCTTGGTCCTGGGATGTAGCTTAGCAGCTTCTGAGCTGACGAGATGCTATACTTGTTTGTCTTCCAGTGAAGATGACATGGTTGCCTGGGCCCTGACGGGTATGATGGATTTAGCATTTTAGTCTTATTTCAGGTCTTTCCCCCCCAGTTTGTGAATTTGGAAGAATCATTCTTTCTACACTCACACTAGCATGAACTTATTCCCATTCTGCTTATAAAAATGTATAGAAACTGTGAAGGCAAAGCGGTTCATTTTGTTCTTTCTAACAGCTTTGATAACAAATTAAAAAAAAAACAGATAGGAGTTTCTATTTAGACAAATGGCACGAGGCACAAGCTCAGCAAACAATATGTGGGTATTTATCCAACCAGGAAAAGTGTAAGATGTGACGGGATTATTTATTGACTCAATATGTTTTGATCCCTTCCATCTGATATAATGGATGTCTTATGGAATAAGTCGCACATGGTCTTATGGAAAGATTTGCTCACAGATGCGGAACACTGCATAATCCAGAGCATCAGGTATGACCACAGAAAGTATCCTCCTTCTTTCAACATAATGAATGGCGCTTGCAAAGACAGACATTGCCAAACGGGTATTTGGCATTATTTTCCTTTCCTTTAGTAGAAAGCATGAGAAAGAGTCACGTTTGTCAGATCGGTGGCTATAAAAATATGATAAATAAATAAATTCCTGGTTTCCCTATTTTTAAAACTATTTAGGAGAGAGAGAGAGAGAGAGAGAGAGAGAGGCCAAACACTCCTAGTTTTGATATATATGTGTATGCATATATGTATGTATGAACTAGGAGTGTTTGGTTTCTCAATCTCTCTCTCTCCCTCTATATATGGCCTTTTTCTCCATCTTTGTGTCATTTCTCTCTTAACTGATTAGCATGTTCAACTCCTTCTTGGCCAAACTATAGGAGTCTTTATCTCACAGGCTACAGTGAAGGAGATGAAGTTAGGGTAATTTTTAATATCTATATTGTGACGGAGGTCCGGGATTGTGGGAACTAACCTGTTTTTATGTGTGTTTCCTTGTCCAA